ATTCCCCGCAGGGGCTGATTTCTCACTTTCTCTCTCTCTCTCTCTTTCTCTCATTAATGCACGTGCCCCCTAGCAAAATTTTGGGGGAAAAAACCGCAGTGATCTTTGTGCATTTCTTTCTTCTTGAGAGTTGGGTTGGGAGGGAGCAGAGAAGAAGGAAGCAGAGAGGGACAGCAGTTTTCCACTGAAAAGCCTAACATACCCGCCTCTGTTGCCTTCCTCGATTCCCCTGTTCAGCAGCTCGCCACCGTGGCCACCACTCCTTCTCCTCTTCCCTTCCCGTATAGCTTCCTTCAAATCCTTTCCAAATATTATTACTCCTCTTGGTTAAAATGGGGATAAGAATCTAAAGAATACACCAAATCTAAAATAAATCCTTCAATCCATGGCTTTCTTTACGTTACACAATCAGAGCTGTAGGACCTGCCAATGTAGTAAAATGAATCACTCCAAATAGAATCTGAGCTTCATACGGACCCCTGGACGTGTCTGCCATCTGGGTATGGACAGCGTGTCTACAGTAAAGATCCATGTGAATGGCTGCCTCGGATATTGGACAGTTCACATTATAACTACTAAGTGATAGCACTAAATAGTAATCATTTTAACTTGAAAATAACTCCTTAAAACTTACAGAGTAGTGGGCTAACCCCATGGCCTAATGGTTAAGGGAACTGGATACCACATGGCTGATCATGTGAAAAACACTGGGAATCTGTGTGAGTGTGCCCCTAATCCCAACAAGATGGGAAATAGAGGAGAAGGGATTACAGCAGGACCCCTTCCTAGAGATGGCTTCTTCCCTCAGTCACACTATCTCTGGCAAGCAAATATGCCTTTTGTCAATTAAAAAGAAATTATAAGATATGGTGCCAGCAGTGGCATGGTGGTTAAGGTGCTGGATTCCTACATGGTTGACTGCAGTTCAAGTCCCAGACTTGGCAGACTGAAAATCACACCAGGTGCATCTGTGTGCATGCCCAAACTCCTGCAAGGTGAATGGAGGAGAAGGGATTGGGGCATGCCCATGTCCTTGGTAGGGGGACTTCTCACTTTCCCTCTCTCTATCTCTCTCCAGTGAGTGCACACACCCTATGCCAAAAACCTAAGGGAAAAAAATGAAAGAAAAAAATTACAGAATAGCATATACACTTAACTTTATCTTGATATCTCTGCTCGCTTCTCCTTGAGACATAGCAAGAGACAAAGAAATTGCTGAACCACAAATAGAAAGTAAATAGCAGAGTCAAGACGTGAAGAGAGGCCTCTTACCTCCAAGTCCAGCTGTTCTAATTCCCCATCGTGCGTCACCACCCAGCTCTTCAGTTGTGTCTCCAATCATGCGAGACAGACAGAGCCACCCTCTAGTTGTAATAATACCTGATAGCTGCCTCTCTGTGCCCAGTTTCAGAGTGTTTGAATGATGTAACTCTAGACTATATTGTTTTTCATTAAAATATTTCCTGATGTGTGTTACAGCTAATAGCATTAAGAAACTAAGTAAATATTGAATAAAACATTTACCATCTTTCCTGCTAATTATCAGTGAGTGCATAAATGTTAAGAAAACATACAACACAGGGCCAGCAGGTGGCATAGTGGTTAAGGTGCTGGACTCCCACATGCCAACAGTGATTCCAGTCCTGCACCCAGCGGTTTAAAAATCACACCAAGTGCATGTGCATACATGCCCAAAATCCCAGGAGGAGAATGGAGGAAGAGGTATTGCAGCATGGACCCAGCTCCATTGGGTCATTTCTCACTTTCCCTCTCACTGTCTCTGTCTTTCTCCGAGAATGCACATACCCTATGGCAAAAGTCCTTAAAAAAAAAAAAAAATGCAACATTACATCTTATGGTTAATTTTATTTCTGCTTTCAACTTTCTGCTAAACAACACTTCTCAAATTATTAAGAATGAATACTTTATAAAAATTTGAAAAATACAGAAAATTTCAAAATTCAAGATCATCATTACTGACATCTTTGTTTCTCTATTTTCACCCATTCTTTGTATATATAGTTTTCTCTTACATATGATTGGGATTCAGCTTTTACTGAACATTACATTTTGGGCATTTGCATGTATTTTTCAAAATTCTAGAGAAGATCTTTTAATTAACGTTATAAATGAAGCCTATTGCTATGAGCAGTGATGACAACAAAAGAATAAGTAGCAATATTTTTTTTTTTTGAGAGAGAGAGATTTTTGCTATAGGGCCCCATATACTCACCAGAGAGACAGAAAGTGATAAATCGCCCCTGAGGGGGAGGGGTGATGGCCATGCCACAATCCCTTCTCCTCCATTCTCCTCTCAAGATTTTGGGCACACATGCACATGTACCTGGCACGATTCTCAAGCTGCCTGCTGCGGGACTCCAACCACAGTTGATCGCACTGGAGTGCAGTGTCTTGACCACTATGCCACCTGTTGTCCCCAGTAGGAATCTTTTAAATTAGCCTCTAGACATGAATAACACAAACCAGTTTTTAATTTTTTTCAGACAAATGCACGGTTCTTATCTGACCATTCCAACCCAACTGCTGAAACACTGGGAACACCTGACAATACTGAAATCCCCATTTTAAGGGTTGAAGATGCAGAAAACGAAAAGGAAACTGCCTTATCCATGGAAGACCAGCCCACCCATAAGGTAAAAGTCACATTGCTATATTAATAGAAATTTTTAATACTCCGAAGGCCTCAGTTTTAAAGTATAGTCAACAAGAGTATCTTATTCTGTCTCCAATTCATTATTTTTTTTTCTTTTTCTGCTTTGTCGTTGTTGTTAATGTTTCTTTGTTTTGTTTTGTTTTGTTTTGTTTTGAAGTCAGGGTCTCGCAATCGCAACCTCTCAGCTGGGACTGCAGGCACTCACCACCATGCTCAGTTCTCTTTTGGGCAGGGTTTCCCTGCGTTCCCCAAGCCAGCCTCTAACTCCTGACTCTCTTGCCTCAGCCTCCCAAGTAACTGAGGTTACAGGCACACCCCAATGCACCTGGCTCACAGGGTAAAAAAGAAATCAAACCCATGTCTCCTGTGTGGTTGTATTCTGTGGAACACAGTACTTTACCAGTGCACGCCCCATGAATGGGCCTCAATTTCATTTTTTTAAACTTGATGATCACACCAGCCTCCTCCAATCATTAGAATTTGAGGATTAATGAGTTTCACTCCTTGAGCTGAGGTGCTGTGTAATTGTTTCATTTTACAAAATTCAAATTTAGATTAAACCTGTGGTTATCAAGTATGAAGAACATCAAAAAATGTGATTACATGATAATGAGTGCAGAACAAGAATGATGAATATTAAATGTTGGCTTAGGAGTTGTAAATACAAGTACAACATCATTTGTTTCAAAATCATCTTTTTCCTTTTAAGGCTGAAATATCTTCCATGCTATCATCAGGAGAGGAAAACCATGAGCAGTTAGCAGAACAGGACAAGAGTTACAGCCAAGAGCAGGGATTGAAGGAGCAAAAGGATAGTGATGGGGACCTAAGTGTGAACTTAGAATACACACCCACAGAAGGTACTTCGGACCTAAGAGAGGACAAGAGTCCACGTGAAAAGGAAGAACTCCCAGAGAATACTGATTTCCTTGCTTCTGACGTTAGTTCTTTGGTGGATCCAAACCAGCAAGAAAACATTGCGAAGGGAGAGGAAAACCAAGAACAACCGATAAACCACGCGCATCATCAGTTAGACAGGAGCAGTGAACATAGCCAAGACTTAAGAGATCAAGGAACCCAACAGCAGGACCCAAATATTCCCAATGGAGAAGAGGAGGAGGAAAAAGAGCCAGTCGAAGTTGGTACCAATGATGAGAACCAAGAAATGGAAAAAGAATTGCCCAAGGAGCAAGAGGAAGCTGATACCCAACCTGATGATGTTGTGGAAGAGTCCAATCAACCAACTCAAGTGAGTAAGATGCAGAAGGATGAGTTTGGGCACGGTAGCCAAGACCAAGAAGAGGATACCGTCGATGCAGAAATGGAAGAGGAAAATGCATCGGATATCCATAAGCACATTCCAGAGGCTGAAGGGCAGAGCCAGGAGGAAAAAACTAGCCTTGAAGTTACCAACAGCCACAAGGAGATGGATAAGAAGACAGATTCTGAGACTTTGCGCACAGAACCTACTGATGATGGCAACATCATGCCCAGAAATCATGGGACCGAAGACAATGTGGGTGATGACAGCCCCAGGCACAGTGAAAGTGATGACGATGTCATCCCAAGCCAGGACTTTCTAGAGAGTGAAAGAGCTCAGTCCATTAACTATCACATCAAAGATGAGGAGCAAAGAGAACAAGCACAGGAGAGTGAAAGTGCGGATACCAGTGACCCTGGGCACTACCAAGGGGTGAGACTATTTGCAACGCTGCTTGTCCAATAGTTAGCATATGATCGGTGAGAGCCATGACCTCACTCTGTGCTCTTGCAGCCTCCTGGGTGTATCCATCCTACATTATTAAGATCTATTACAGTTGCTTATTGTTCTATCCATCTCCTTCATTGGGCTGAGAACGCCTGTTTTACTTGGTTCCCCTGGAAGCAAACCGTGGATTTGCTGTTTATTCAAGCGCAGGGGACAAGGAGGAGTGGAGAAGCAAGAGAGAGAAAGGAAGCTAATACTGGGGATCTTCAAAGAGTGCGTGGAAAATGTGTGCTATGAAAGAACCACGCATGGAGTTTGATCTTGTCTTTTTCATCAGATTAAACTCATATTTTAATTCCATTGTCCACAGACTTTTTCAGAATTATTCTATTTGAGAAAGTTACCAAATTTCCCTGGCTGAAAGTTCTTAGTGGGGGTTTAACTCTCCAGCATTTCCAGTCTGTCCTTTGAGCAGGGATATAGATTTCCATGGTTTTCTAGGCATACAAATGCAGATATTGACAGTTGAAAGTCCCTGGGGCTAGTAGAAATGATAAAGTCTGACAGATTTGAAGGGTGGAGACACTGACAGCTGCTGCCTCAGTGCTGGAAAGCAGGTGCCATGTTACATTCGTGTTGAACCACCAATGTCAAACAAAATGCCTCAGACGTAACAAGAGATGTAGCCTTTTTGCTGCATTTATTAGAAAGATTAAGATATTACTTTATTGGATCAGCAGGTGACGTGGTAGTTAAGGTGATGGGTCCCATATGGTTAGCTCCATAGTTTGAGTCCTGGACCTAGAGTCTTAAAAAATGCTGGGCGCATGTGCATACATGCCCAAAATCTTAAGAGGAGAGTGGAAGAGAAGGGATTATGGCGTGGCTATACCCCCCCCCCACACACACACACACAGGGGGGGTTTCTCCCTTTCCCTCTCTTCCTTTCTCCTCATGTGCATACATGCCCAAAATCTTAAGAGGAGATTGGAAGAGAAAGGATTATGGTGTGGCTATACCCCCCCCACACACACACACACACAGGGGTGGTTTCTCACTTTCCCTCTCTCTCTGTCTCTCTCCAGTGAGCACATGCACCCTATGGCAAATAAATAAATAATAAGAATAATTTTTTTTAAAAAAAAGATACTCCTTTATTAAGCACATACCAATGATAATCTAGAAAGTGAAGTAGGGGTCCAGGGGGAACATACTGTTATTTGGTCATTTAATCCTTTGGAACTTTCATGCACAACCCTGGCAGCCACACATGGGAGGACTTGGTCCAGCTCTGGGTGAGCAAGGTCGATCGTGACCTCATTACTAAGAACTCTATTGCCCTTCTGAGGTAGGGGTTCATGTCGGTAGAAAAACTTTACCGACAACTTCATGGAGATCATGGCTATACCCCTGTCGTAACCACAGCATCACAAGACAAAACCACGTTTCTAGTGTCTTCCCAAAATCCAACTCTGACTGAGTAATCTCCTGAACCCGGCTGAAGAGAGATGAGGTCTGTTACCCAAAGGTTCTGTCTACCTCCGCTCTCATCGTTGGTTTCTCTTTGAAATCTGAAATGACTAGGGCATGAAAAACTAAAGATTCTAAGAAGGTATATAAATTAGGTAATGGCTCTCCCCTTAACAGATTTTAACTTCAGCTCTTGTTTTAAAGGCCAAGAAAGCAGAAAGTTCATCAAATGAAGAAACTGCAAGTGAAGGCAGCACGCAGCTCCACGGTGTTGGTGAGTACGCAGTATGCCAGCTGCTGGTGACTGTTGGGGTCCCACTTCGTCCAAAGGACATACGTTCAAACCCCACAGTGGGTGCTTGTAACTGCGGACAGTACTGAACCCATAGAGACCGTGGGGTTCTTTCAACAGAGAGCTGAGGCAGCTACTAAGTGCCTGAGGGGTAGGGGGAGGTGGTGTATATAGCATGGCTACTCCAGACAAAGGCAAAATTCACACCCTAGGTGGGACGGAGTGGGACATTGCTAGACGTCATCACGCTACTCTGAACAACGTGCTATTTAAAATACAGGAGTTGTTCCTTTCTGGACTTTTCCATCTCATATTTTCAGACCACAGTTGAACGTGGGTTACTTAAACAGCAGAAAGTTGAAACCGCATGAAGGGGAACTGCTGCATATGAAGGAAAAGATGAAATCTGGCACTTTAGCTTGTCCCTTCCTTCCTTTGTGACCACTGCACAGAATTTTCCCCCTCCCCATTCTTCCCCAAGGACATGCCCCCATAAATAATTTTTATGTTCATATTTAATACACGACGACCAGTGAATGTGTTCACAATTGGAAGTCCAGTTGAGGTAACAGTGCAAACACTAGTGTTCTTTTTCCCCTAAATCCTTTTTGCTTCTAAAAAGAATGAATTCTACCTTATTTATCCTCAAATCCGTAACTTACTAGTGAGCTTAGATCACATATTTGAGCCTAATTCCTACCTCAATCACAAATATTTTTAATTTTAACACAATAAAATTCTCATGGCTTATTTAACCTCTGACCAACTTGCTCCACATTGCGTTAGAGACTAGAGACGACAACCAGCTCCAGCAGGCCGAGAGCTGTTTAGATTTTTTGCATTTCTAGTCCAAACTGCTGCAAAAGGATTTCTAGACCATCATGTGAAATAGTCTCATGTCACCAGGTTCCAGCTGGATTTTAATCAATGGAAGTGATTTCTAGTGTGTTTCTACTTTCAAATGTTCAGTTTCCAAAGGTTTCAAACTTTCTCCCTTATTAATGAAGAGGAAGCTAAGTGGGTGAATTTTCATTCATGTACTCAGTTGAGTTTTGTCCTTGTCTCCCTTCCGAACGCTTCTGTTAGACTCTTGCATGAACTTCCAGTGTAAAAGGGGACACACCTGTAAGGCGGACCCACAGGGAAGACCTCACTGTGTTTGCCAAGACCCTGTGACCTGTCCTCCGACGAAACTCCTTGATCAAGTAAGTTCTCTACAAAATAGTCTTTACAGGAGACCAAAAAGATTAGTGAATTGACTAAAAATGGCATGCAATTGAAATATTTTGTTTAAAAAAAAACGATGTCACAGTTAGAGTTTATATTTGAAATCATATTGAACACATATGGAACACATACCAGCAAAATGAAAGACTTACACTGTGCTGGACAAAGGTAATAATGGCACGTGAGCTTAGAGTTCATTTTAAAATTCATCTTCTACTTGGAATATTCGTAGGTTTTATTCTACAGGGCTTAGCTAGAGCTAAATCATTGTCACCATTGATTTCTTGTTTGTTTGTTTGTTTTGGTTTTAGAGATTTTTGCCCTCGAGCTCATGAACTCACCAGAGAGGCAGAAAGACAGAAAGCGAGAAATCACCTCCCAAGAGGGATGGCCACACCGCAATCCCCTCTCCTCCATTTTCCTATCAGGATTTTGGCGCACATGCCTGGCATGAGTTCGAAGCCACCAGGTCTGGGACTTGAACCGTGGCTGGCTATGTGAGAGTCCAGCATCTCAACCACTACACTACCTGCTGGCCCAATCTTTTTTTTTTTTTTTTTTTTTTTTTTTTATGTGTATGCCAAAAGGGAGAGTTAATTTTTTCTTTTTTTCTTTTTTTTTTTTTTAGAGGTTTTTGCTATTGTGTGCAGGTGCTCACTAAAGAGACAGAAAGACAGAAAGCAAGAAATCACCTCCCAAAGGGGATGGCCATGCCATAATCCCTTTTCCTCCATTCTCCTCTCAAGATTTTGGACATGCACACACACACACCAGGACTCTAGTTCCAGGACTCAAACCATGGTCAACTACATGGGAGTCCAGTGACATAACTACTACGCCGTGTGCTGGTCTCGAGAGTTACAATGTTAAGGTTTCACCTACTTGCTGTCTGGCATAGCACCATGTAGCTGACAGCCTACTAGCTTTAAAGAGAGGAGTGTTTTTTCAGTGAGCGTTTGCTTCTATCAGCCTTTTCTCTCGCTGTCTTTCCTAGGTTTGTGGCACTGACAATCAGACCTATGCCAGTTCCTGCCATCTGTTTGCTACTAAGTGCAGACTGGAGGGTACCAAAAAGGGCCACCAACTGCAGCTGGATTATTTTGGAGCCTGCAAATGTAAGACCCATCATTCCTACAAACCATCGCATCTGAGCATCTTGAGTGAACTTGTACATGACAAAAGTTGTGTGTCTCTAAACAGGAAAATGCTGATGTTGTTCTGAACCCAAGCTACACATTAAAATCAACAAGGGAGAGTTAAAAAAAAAATTAATAAGACTAATTCCCAGGCTGTAAGCCCAAGAGATTTTTATTCAGGTCGACTAGGTTGGAACCCTGGCATTGTTTTGTCATTTGTTTTCAAAGTAACCTAGGGGATGGTAATGTGTAGCCAGGGCTCCGAACCACCATGATAATGTTATCCACTTAATAATCAAGATGAATCACTGGAATGTTGCTAAATGATTTGCCCTCTTCCCAGTTTAACTTAAGTCTTTGCCAAGAAGTGTTATGACAACATATTTTTCCAGCTTTTCAAAATTGTCTTCCTTCCCCAGGAAATTCTCCATTGTGTTTGGCTCCTGTTAACGCTAAGTGATTCTCCACTTTAGCAGGCCTCACTCATGCTTCCAGTTTCCTACTTCCGGCCAGACAAAATGATTACACTCTCCAGACCCCATGTTAGGTGTAGTCATATGACCTGCTTTGTCCAATGAAATGTGAGCAAAACCTTGTCTGTGTGAGTTCAGGGCAGAAGCATTTAAGAGCTGGTGTATGGTGCCTCCTACTCTTTTTCCTTCTCACCACAAACTCTGAAGCCTTGAGTTAAGATGGTGGCCTCAAAAAATGGTAGAGTCCCCGTCATCTTGAGTCACAGAGAAACTGCGGTAAACAGAGCTCTTGTATTGGACTTGTAGCAAGACAGAGAAGGAGACTTCTGTCTTCAAGTCCCAGACATTCGGCATTATTTATTCCCAACGTGTAAACTAATCTCTACTTTTTCCAGTTTTCCTTTAATAAACAGCTCCTGTGCCCTCTCCCTCGAAATTTCAACACTCTGGTTCTGCTGCAGTCTTTCTCAGCCCTAGCTACACATCAAGATTACTTTGGGAGTTTTTAAAACATCCCAATGCCCAAGCTCCACCCCAGACCAACCAAATTAGAATTCATTTGGATGGAAGTGGCAGTTTGACACGTTTTTTAAATGCCCCAGGCAATCGTGCTGGACTTCCAGAATTACGAACCATTGTTGTGATAACAGGGCAGTGAGGATGCTCTGTCAGTCCCAGATGTCTTAACTTCCTGTTATAAGGACTTGCCAGTGGACAGGAGTAAGGCCCAAAGCTTACAATCTGTATTCTGCTTGTAACAGCTATTCCTGTTTGTACGGACTTTGAAGTGACTCAGTTTCCTCTACGGATGAGAGACTGGCTCAAGAATATCCTCATGCAACTTTATGAACCTAACCCCGAACACTCTGGCTATCTAAATGAGAAACAGAGAAATAAAGTAAGTTTTCCACGGGTCAGCCACCAAAGGTCGTCTACAGGGTCTGAAGGAAAAGGTATGGGAGGGGAGGGGCTTCCCACCTCTGCACAGAGCAGTAGCTCACTGTGCCTCCCCATGCCTGGTTAGTCCACATGGATTACCAAACTGCAAGTGATCACCATTCATGCCACAAGGTTCAGGACACCAGCAACTGCCCCATTCCTGCCCAGAGAGCAGTGGCCTGAACAAGGGCTCCTTAACTCCCATCTACAGCAAGCTCTATTTGAGCAAAGTTAACAAATTCAGCCTTTATATAACCAAGCTCAAATATGTTATTTAAATATAAACATTTTCCCCCTCATAGGATAAATGTAGAAGTATGATAGAAGGGAAACCTACTACTCAACAATGTCAATTTTTAATATATTAAAATTTATAAGTACAGAATAAAATCTCTCCCTTCATGAGCTTACATTTGAGGCTAAGGGACAAACTCTAAACCCATAAGCACACATATGTGTTTGTGTATCTTGTACATATGTATGCATATATACACATATATGCAAATATGTCAATGTCTATAGACAAGTATTTATACAACTATAATCAAATGTCTGTGTAGGACATGCCAGGTGCAATGAAACGTGCTGTGAAGAAAGATGAACAAAGGAGGAGGGGGCGTTAACTGTCAAACGCTGTCCTAGGCTGTGAGATGAGCACTGAGAGCTGGCCCTGAGTGGTCCGCAAGTGGTTGACCTTGACAGGAACTGCCTGGGGGCAAGGAGGCTCTGGGAGAGGGAAGTCTGGGTGGACAGGGTTCGAGAGTTATCAGAAGAGATGTGGAAGCAACAAGTACTGACAATAAGGCCAAGGAGTTTTGCTGTAAAGGAGTGAACAGAAATGAGGTGGCAGCTGGAGGGGGAAAAATAAGTTCGGGGGAAAAAACATTTTTTTAAATTCTTTAAAAAACATTTATTGGACAAAAACTTAAAAATAAAAAAATATATATAGGGTGGAATATCTTTGTCACCTCCTGTGCATACTCACTTCCTTAGTTAAAGCAATGGCAATTCTGAAATTCTGGGGGTTTTTTTCCACTTATTATTTATTTATTTACTTTCTGAAACCTTTTTTAAAGTTAATTTACATTCATTTCCAAAGCATCATCACAGCACACAAAATGTGATTTCCCATCCAGAATATACTGTATAGTGGTTTAATTGTGCATGTTATTGTCAATAATTTTCTATATATATATATATAATATAAAATATATATATATATATTTGCCCCTATTTCTGACCTTCTGCCCTTTCCCATCCTCTTCTCACACTATCTCTGGTGTCTACAGTTGTCTTCCATTCCTTTTCCCCCTGCATTTTATTGATCACACAGTTTCTTAAATAATCTAACTACTTTCAATAGCAAGTTCAGCTGGTAATTTCAAGAAAAGCAGTTTTAACTTTAATAAATCAAGAAATGCTAAGGAACTTTGCTTAAGACTTAAAGCCAGGAAACAGATTAGTATTCTGTTCAAATAGTAGGTACATGAACCTATCAACAGCTCAAGACAGGACAAAAATTCTTAAAGCCAGAAAACAAAGACTAGAACAAAATCAGCAATGTTTTAGTCAAAAGTCATAACATGCTATTTCACCAATTTAGTCTCATGTACTTAAGCTATCTTTTGTTGTGGTTCGATCTTCCCGATTAAATTCCGGGATATAATATTCAACTCCAGACTTGTCCCTATGTTAAGTTGGCCATTGTCTTAGTTTTCAAACTCTTATTTCTATGTGTCTATATTTAATTTTTCTGGTATAGCACTCTCTTGAGAACTTCTTGGAGATCTGGCCTGGTGCTGGTTAATTCTTTCAGGTTTTGTTTATCTGAGAATGTTCTTGTCTTTTCTTCCCACATGAAGGATAATATTGCCAGGTACAGTATTCATGGTTGAAATTGCTTTTCCCTTAACGCTTTGAATATATTTTCCCATTCTTTCCTCGCTTGCATTGTTTCCAATGAGAGATCTGCTGTTAGCCCAAAGGGATATCATTTGTAAGTAACTTGCCATTTTTCTCTTGCCATTCTTAGTATCTTGCCTTTGTCTGTGGTTTGGGTCAATCTGGCTATTATGTGTCTTGGAGAAAATCTTGGGTTGATTCTATTTGGGGTCCTTGTATTTCTTGGGACTGGATCTCTGAGTGCCTCTCTAGGTTTGGAAAGTTTTCTTCCAGGATTTCATGGAGTAGATTATCAATGCCCTTATGAGTCTCTTCACCTTCTGGGATACCAGTTATCCAGATGTTTGGACATTTGATGGTATCTAGTATTTCTCGTATATTATTCTCATTTTTTGGGCAATCTTCTCAGTCTTTGTGGTGGGTTTTTCTAGGTCAGCAATTGTCTCTTCTACATCTGAGATTCTATTTTCTGTATGATCTAGTCTGCTTTTAATACTTTCAAGGGAGGTTTTGACTTCCTGTATTATAGCCTTCTCCTCTAACAGGTCCATTTGATTCTTTGTTAAAGTGTGCAATCCCTCTTTTAGATCTTGCAAGAATTTCCACACCTCCTGGAACTTGTCAGCTCCTTTCTCCTGCCTCTTCTACAGTTCATGGTCTCTCTTCTCTTCCATCTCTGTTAGCTTGGTCATTATGAATATTCTAAAGTCTTTATCAGACACTTCCATGATTTCCATTGAACTGTCACTTTCTGTATTATAGCCTTCATCTCTAACAGGTCCATTTGATTCTTTTTTAAAGTGTGTAATTCTTCTTTTAGATCTTGAAAGAATTTCCTCACCTTCTGGAACTCATCAGCTCCTTTCTGCTGCCTCTTCTGCAGTTTATTATCTCTCTTCTCTTCCATCTCTGTTAGCTTGGTCATTATGAATATTCTAAAGTCTTTATCAGACACTTCCATGATTTCCATTGAACTGTCTGTGGATGAAGAGGAGTTATTCAATTCCCTTGGAGGAGAGGTATTTTCTTGCTTTCCCATATTTCTTGTGGCCCTGCAGTGATTTCTAGTCATTTCATGGATGGTGTGTTTCTTTCTAATTCTTGAAGTTAAATCTGAGCGTATAGGAGTGTGCAGAAGGAGGTGGTCTGGAATCTCTTTGCCATTCCATTTTTATCCCTTTGTGTAGCAGATTCAGTGGATATTGAGGAATGTGTTAACCCTGATAGTATTTGGGTGTTTGGCTATGGTCCCCTTAGATCCGTCTAGAAACACAATGAATGGGGATTGAGGAGCAGAATGATGAGATAAAAGAAAAAGAAAAGGAAAGAGAGAGAGAGAAAAAAACAACAATAAAGAAACAGAGAGAAAAAGAAGGGAAAAAATCAAAAACAACCACCCCAAAAAATTAAAAAAAAAAAGCAAAAAATAGAAAACCGTATAGCATGGGAAATCACTAGTTCTCAGGAGCCATGAAGGAGTCTTCTTCTCGAAAAACTTTTTTTTTTTTTTTTTTTTTGATTATGGGGCGAAAAACGTGCGCTTGCCAGACAGAGAGAGACATAGAGACAGAAAGTGAGAAATCACCCCCAGGGGGGATGGTCACAGCGCAATCCCTTCTCCTCCATTCTCCTCTCAGGATCTTGGGCACGTACTCGGTGTGAGTTTTAAGCCACCGGGTCCGGGACATGAACCGCGGTCGACTACGTGGGAGTCCAGCGACATAGCCATTACGCTAACTGCTGGTTCCCTCGAAAAAACATTTAATAGGCACAAAAATGAAAAGTTATCTGGTGATGATAATTTATATGGTAATATCTTTGGCTGGACTAATATACACACTATTCATTCTCAGAAAAAGCATTTTATATGCTGTGCAGACATATACTGATTAACTGTAAATAAATAAATAAATATATATAAAAAAATACAAATTAGCAGAAAATGAAAATAAAAATAAGTTCAAGATCCCCATCTACCTGTGAAACATGGCAGAAGATGTTTGCAGACCTCTGGAAATAAGACAGTGAAGAAGGAAAAATAGTGAAGAGCAGAGAATGGGCACAACTACCAGAGGCTGTTCTTGGGTAGGTGGCCCAACCAGATGGGAGGGTTAGGCCTAGATTAAAAGTACAGGAGGTTCATCTCTAGTAACAAAGAGTGAAGGTGGTACATGTGGTCATGGAAATGGATAGTTGTGTTTGATCACTTCCCATTACTCAATGAAATAATAGGTAGCATCATAAGCTGAAAGTTTCACATTCATCACTCAAGAATAATTTCCACTTGGGACTGGCAGAACTAGAGAAAATTCTTAAGAGTAACGCTGAAACTGCAACAGACCTGGTGGTCTTAGACAGGTACGCACTTCAGATGGACTTGGCTGTCGTGGGGCGGGTCGTGACTGACAGTGAACCTTCGGTACCCTGGGGTGCCTTTCAGATTGTGCCTGCTGAGGTGGACGAATGGCTGTTACAAGGGAGGAGCAAGGGGCTGGCAGGTGGAGTGGAGGTTAAGGGTGCTGGACTCCCTCATGGCCGACTGTGGTTCGAGTCCTGGATCTGGCAGCTTGCTTTCTCACTTTCCTTCTCTCTCTCTCTGTCCCTCTCTGGTCAAATTAATATAAATAAATAAGTTTAAGTAAAATAATTATATAAAAAAGAGAATAATTTCCACCCACTGTCTTAATGCATGGTCATAGGATTTTTCACTAATCAAAAATATTGCCTAAGTCAGCTCAGGCCTTTTTATTAAAACCTTCTCACTGTTTTAAGGAAACTGGTGAACATTACGTGGTTAAAGATCAAAACAGCTTTCAATTTCATATGGAAACCGTACATTTTTTACATCAGCCTTATTTCCATGGAGACATAGGAAAGGCTTGTATTGGTTAGGAGGCATAATTGGCTGCACACGGTGTCCTGGCTTGCTTTCCTTTGTCACATTACTGCTGCTCTTCAAATAAAATTAGCAAGTGACAGTTAGCTTGTCTGATCTCTGATCATCTTCTTCCTTCCTTACCCAGGTCAAAAAAATCTACCTGGATGAAAAGAGACTCTTGGCTGGGGACCATCCCATTGACCTTCTCCTGAGGGACTTTAAGAAAAACTACCACATGTATGTGTATCCTGTGCACTGGCAATTTAGTGAACTCGACCAACACCCTATGGACAGGTAAAAAGTCTTACTTCCCTATTACTAGGTCATCTCTCTGATAGATTGCCTACATAGTTATGCAAAAGAGAAACCTAAACAGAATTAAGAAATTTCCATGTTCCAGTTTAGAACACTGAAGTACCAAAGAAACATGGTTTGGAGTCTGAACACACAATGACCCAGAATGTGGTTACACCACAGCTCCCAAGTTTACCGTTTAGGGTCCAGTCCCCACAGAGACTCCTTCCATTTTCTCATTCTTGATTCTAAATTCTCAAGATAATATGATTGGCCCAATTTGGGCCAAGTGGCTACATCTGAAACAACCAGGTAGAACAGTGAGGAAAGGGCCAGGCTGTGCAAGCACGATAACTGAGTGCACCCCCATAGATTGTAGGTGGAGGGAGGACGGTTCCCAGTGAGGTGAGAAACCTGGTGGATCAACATCCCCAAAGCTATTGACCTCATCCACAAATAGTTTCACTTGCAGCTTTTTAGCAGTGTCTTACTATTTACTGGACACACACAGAAACCTGGTGAAAGAAACTGTCCTTAGTGATCCTAGGAGTTAAACCTTCGTCATAAACTGCTCAGTTGACAGGATGCCATGTTTCCTTGCAGAGTCTTGACGCATTCTGAGCTGGCTCCTCTGCGAGCGTCTCTGGTGCCCTTGGAGCACTGCATAACCCGCTTCTTTGAGGAGTGTGACCCCAACAAGGACAAGCACATCACCTTGAAGGAGTGGGGTCACTGCTTCGGAATTAAAGAAGGTAAATTCATCATCAAGCAAGAGAGAGGGGTGTTCCCTTCCATAGATAAGCCTAGGCCCTGTGGGCCTTGCTGACAGGTCCTACTGCATGTTGCCATTGAAACTTGGGACAAAAGGTGTCAGTATTCCAAATGAGACTCCCTTGGTGCACATGCCATCATTGCAAGGTCATTCCATGCTTTTATGACACTGTTGTTGAAGGGTAGAGAGTGTGAATATGCACTGTGGTCTTGGCAGTGAGCTAAGCCTCAAGAGTTGATGGGCTAAGCCTCAGCTCTCTGATGTCAGAGAGCTGTGCCAGATCTCAGAAGGCTTTATCCCCTTCGTTAGTTATATCCTTCCTTAGCCTGAGTTTCCTTAGCCTGAGTATCGGGTCGAACACTTTGAAATCATACGTGAAGAGTTAAACAGCAAATCTGCTTCTGACCATGGAAAATGTCAGAAGACATCTTAGAATCTGTTACTGGGGCCAGGATGACATAATGGTTACATCGCTGCCTATAGTTGCATCCCACATAGTTGCCTATGGTTGGAGTTCCATACTGTGCAGCTTAAAACTCATGCTGAGTGCGTGTGTGTGCATGCCCAAGATCACAAGGGGAGAATAGAGAAGGGACTGTGGTGTGACCAGCCCCCTGGGGGTGATTTCTTGCTTTCTGTCTCTCCAGCAAGTGCATATGCCCTATAGCAAAAATCTCCCAGCAAGTGAACATATCCTATAGCAAAAATCTCTCAAAAATTTCTTTAAATAATAATAATAAACAGAATTAAATAATTTTAAAAAAATAAGTATTCAAAACTGCTCATCACCACAAATAATGCCAAGGATGTAAGGCAAGCATGTTAATTACCTCAGTTTAGCCATTCCACAATGTGTACATCTCGTAAGCATCATACTGGACATCGTAAATATGTCCAACTTTTATTTGGCCACTAAAATCAATAAATTAGAAAAAATAACTGCTCACCAAATGTGAACTAATGGTAAGTATTAAATCTCTAAAGTTTTATACATATGTTTCTGGCATACATGTAGGATCAGCTCCCACATGGCCCACCGCAGTTCAAGTCCCAGACCTGGTGGCTTGAAACATGCCAGGCATGTGTACATAAATGCCCAAAATCCTGGGAGGAGAGGGGAGGAGAAGGGATTGCAGCACGGCCATCCTTGGAGGGGAGTGGGTGGTGATTTCTTGCTTTCTGTTTCTCTGGCTCTTTCTCTCCAGCAAGTGCACATGCCCTACGGTGCAAAAGTCTCTGTAAAACATAAGTGGCATGCCAGTACTTCTGCCTTATTAAGCTGGTTGCATTGACCAATCCTGCGGCTTGTGGGAGGGGCCACAGGAGACAGAGGGCCATTGGGGCCATCTTGGAGACTGGAGATCACATTCTACTTAAATCCTGTTACCATTGCTATAAAAGTACTGACCTTTCACTTACATAAATATATGCCCTTTTATAGCACACGTGACATGAAAGGATTGATTAAAAAGGCATTACTTAAAGAAACCAGTTGCTCTTCACTGTCCCTTTGCCAGACTTCTGGCCTCTCTGTAACAGTACACTCACCCAGGCGCTCTGCTGGCCGCTTGTCCGGGAGGAGCAGGAAGAGCTCAAAGCCCAGTGACTTGCAGATCTACTAATGATCTTGTTTGTGCACTGTGGTTTGGTCATCATTACGTTATTTTGAAGAGGGGAAGGAATTATCACATCATAAACCAGTAGGCAGACACTAAATATTCAGCCAGAACAAGTAAACAAGTTATTGTTTTGGGACTTAGCTAGGAAAAGAAAAAAAACTTTATTTGTAAGTCTACCCTTCCCTCCTTCAGTGCTGAGAGAGCCACAGAAGATCAATTTTAGCCAATGTTTTCCTATATCTTAATGCCCAGATCTGAACTAGATGTGCTCGAGTTTTCCAGCTCAGGCCAGCTTCATAGTGCAGTGGTTAAGTGTTGTGCATAGAAAGCGGATCTTACATTGCTGAACTCAGTTCGAATCCTGGCCCAGGCAGCTTGAAAAACACATTGAGAGTGTGTACCTGCTGTCCAAAATCCTGACAGGATAAAGTAGTGGAGGAACGGAATTGCAGCATGACCATGCCCCATTGGGAAGTGTTCTGTCTCTCTCTCTCTCTCTCTCTCTCTCTCTCTCTCTCTCTCTGACAGGAGCACACACAGCCACAGGCAATTAAAAAAAAAATCAGCTCTGTCATTAACTAGCCATGTGACTTAGGGCATATCACTTATTCTCTTAAGTCTCACTTCATTTACCTGTAAAAACGGGTTTCTGTTAAGAGAAGGAGGAGTCAGGGACAGCAGATGGCATAGTGGTTAAGGCAGTAGACTCCTAACATGGCCAACCATGGTTCAAATCCCAGACCTGGCAGCTTGAAACTCATGCCAACATGTGTGAGTGTGTGCCCAAAATCCTGAGAGGAGAATGGAGAAGAAGGGATTGTTGTGTGGACAGCCACACTAGAGGGGTGATTTCTTGCTTTCTCTCTCTCTGTCTCTCCAGCCTTGCTTTCTCTCTCTCTGTCTCTCCAGCAAGTGCATATGCCCTATTGCAGAAATCTCTTGGGGGAAAAGAAAAAAGAAGAGTCTTCACCAACAGAATGTACATGATGTACCATGTGTTGACATAGTCACTGATAATTCTTGTTTTAGATTTATTTAATTTTATTTATTTATTATTATTATTTTCAAATTTGGTATAGGGCATGCACACTCACCAGAGAGAAAATGAGAAAGCAAGCCCCCAGGTCCAGGACTTGAACTGCAGTCAGCCTTGTGGGAGTCTAGCGCCTTAACCACCATGCCACCTGTGGCCTCAGTCACCGATAATCCTAAGAAAAACTTCCAAATAAAACTAAGGGAAAAAGAGACAGCTCATACAGGTCCCAGTAAGCCACTCAATGACCTCATCACAGCAGTACAGGGGATTCTGGGGTGTTGGAAACAAAGGAGTGATTTCTCTGTGTTTGTATTTAAGAACAATTCCTCTGGTTACATTGTGGAGAGGCTAGAGAGCAGCTGAGAGAATGTTCTGGTAAATCCAGGCAAGAGTTAATGAGAACTTGAACTAGGGGAGTGACAGTGGGGAAAAGAGAAGTAAATATATTCAAGATATATTTTAAAATATAAGTGTGCTAAAAATACATAGCATGTAGAAATAAGAAGACAATGGCAGGAAATATGTCAGGGCAGGGAGCAGAGAGGTGAGAGGGGGAAGGAGAAGTAAGGACAAAGTCTAGCCCTGCCTCCAGCCAGGTAGTAGAAAGATACCCTTCACTTAGAAAACGTATAGCAAGCAGATCTGGGGGAAATGGCAAATCCATTCTGGATACACTCTGGCTTTTTTTCTCTTCTGTTCTTTTTCTTTTTATTTATTTATTTTTATTTTTTAAGAGAGAAATTTTTGCTATAGGGCGCATGCACTCCCCAGAAAGAGACAGAGACACAGAAAGCAAAAAATCACCCCCTAGGGTGGATGGCCATGCCACAATCCCTTCTTCTCCATTCTCCTCTCAGGATCTTGGGCACACACACGCACATGCATCCAGCATGAGTTTTAAGCTGCCAGGTCCAGAACTCGAACTACGGTCGACTACAGAATCCAGTGACATAACTATTATACCATCTGCTGGACCCCGACACACTGTATTTTAAAGTACTCGGGAGACAGTATACCACTGTAGTTGAATAGATGGGTCTGCATTTCAAAACAGAGTTTTAAAACTGACATGCATATTTGAGACTATGAGCATACAGAGAGTAACTGACAACAGGGAAAGGAATTAATCCCCCCCCCAGAAACAGGTATTGAATTACATGAAAAAGGGTCTAGTGTTGAACACTTAGGAATAACAACATCTAGGTAATAGGCAGAGGAGGAAGGAGCTCACGAAGGAGAATGAAAGGGCTCTCCTGAAATGAAGGGAGGAATAAAACAGGACAGAGTCTTGACGAAGGAGGTCTTTCAAAGAGGACGAGAATGACAGTGCTAAATGCTGCAACAATGTCGGGAGGGTAAGACTGTGAATGTTCGTCAGACGTAGAAATAAACATACCCTGGGAACTTGGTCAGAGTTTAGATGGAGGGCCCAGCAGGTGGTATAGTGGTTAAGGATCTGGACTACCAGGGCCAGCCACAGTTCAAGTCCCAGACCTGGTGGCTTGAAACTCATGCCAGACGCATGTGCGTGTGTGTCCCAGATCCCAGGAGGAGGATGGAGCAGAAGGCATTGCAACATGGCCACCCCTTGTGGGGTGATTTCTCACTTTCTCTCTGTCTCTCTCTGGCAAGCATGTGCACCCTGAGGCAAAAATTCTTTTAATTAAAAAAATTAAAAAGTTTAGAGTTTAGACAGAAAAGTAGGGATGAGAGCCTGATTCTATAGGCTGAGAAAGAATGGGAGATGATTAAAGGTGATAAAAGAATGTTTAAAGGAAGAAAAGAGCTAGAGGATACAGAGCTGAGGGGAGCATGTTTGAGAATAGCAGAGGCTTGATCACTCCATTCATTCATTCATTCATTCATTCATTCCTTTGCCTACAAATCTTTACTAATGGTCTACATAGAGTCAGGCCCTGTTCTAGAGGTTAGATATACAGCATTTTAAATGCTAATGAGAAAGAACCAATCAAAAAGGAAAGGCTGAAAATACAAGGAAGAAGAAAATAGAAGAATCGTAAGAAGGGTAGAAAAAAATCATGAACACAGGTAGAAGAATTAGCTTTAAGGTCAACAGGAAGGCGATCTCTCACCTGAACAAAAGGAAAATAATTATGTGTGCAAATATAAGTACATTTGTAAATAGCAAAATTTGTATCTCCATTTTACAAATGAAGAAATATACCAGGCCAGCAGGTGGCACAGTGATTAAAGCACTGGATCCCTCATGGCCAACTCTGTGGTTCAAGTCCCAGATGCAAGTCAGCTTGAAAAACATGTTGGGCATATGTGTGTACATGCCTAAAATCCCAAGAGAAGAATGGAAGAAAGGGATTGTAGTGTGGCCTTCCCTCAGTTGGAGGAGGGGGGCGCTCTCTCACTTCACCTCAGTCTGTCTCCCTCTGTCTCTCTCCCTCTCTCTCTCTGGTGAGTACATGCACTCTAAAGGGGGGAGGGACCTTTAAATGAGAATAAAATATCAAAATCATAATCTTTTCCACTCTCTGTGCTAGAGGAAGACTTATATTGGGCATGAAAATGACCTTGTGCTCCAGACAGGATAGTAGTTTAGGATGTTTCAAATTAATCAGCCTTAAATATCTGTTTAACAATTATATTATCAGGTCAGGACAGGCCAATTTATATTAGTAAAAAGTGGTCTTATGGGACCAGCGGATGGCATAACATTTATGTCGCTAGATTCCCACTTGACCACAGTTTAAGTCCTGGACCCAACAGCTTGAAATTCACACCAGGCATGCATGCATGAGTGCCCAAAATTCTTTTTTTTTTTTTTTTATTTGGAGAGGTTTTTGCTATAGGGTGCATGCGCTCGCCAGACAGACAGAAAGTGAGAAATCACCCCCTAGGGGGGATGGCCATGCCGCAATTCCCTCTCCTCCTTTCTCCTCTCAGGATCTTGGGCACGCATGCACACACACCCGGCGTGAGTTTTAAGCCACCAGGTCCGGGACGCGAACGCGGTTGACTACATGGGAGTCCAGCGACATAGCCATTATGCTAACTGCTGGTCCCATGCCCAAAATCCTGAGAGGAGAATGGAGGAGAAGGAATTGCCCCCCTGGGGGGCAATTTCTCACTTTCTGTCTGTGTGTCTCTGGTGAGCGTACACCACCTATAGCAAAATTCTCTCTCTAAAAAATAAAATGAGTGGTCTTATATCCACTAGGGGATGTTGTTTCATTCCCCAAGTGTGCCAACCAGTGCTTTTACAAGTTCCTTGTTTGCAAATGTGATTCAATTCGTCCTGTACTTCTATTTATTTCTATTATATTTTAGCTCCCCTTATAAATTAGTATACTTACTCTTACTTCTTAAAAGGTTAGGCCTCATCTTAAAGTGTTTTTCTTCTATCAGTTCTTCTGCATCAGAACTTTATCTGCAGTTTTCTATATAGCTGTTGGCCCACTGCTAGGCATTTTTATTTTTTAATTGTCAGAGGGAATATGCTCCAGACAGAGTAGGAAAATACGCTCCTCAATGGGGCATAGTTATACCACAATCCCTTCTGTCAGGATTTGGGGAATGCAAACACACATGCCTGGCGTGTCTGCCAAGCCACTGGGGCAGGGACATGAGTCATGCAGCCAGCCATGTGAGATCTGCTCCTTCAACCACCAGGCTATGGGGGCTACCTCTACCCCTAAGCATTCTGATTCCGGAGGCCAGGGGTAAGGCCTATTTTTAAAAGTGCATGGATGATGTTGATGCCTACCAAAACTGAGAATTATTGTACTACTTTATTAGTTTCTCTAATCCCCCTGTTCTAACATTGTTGATGCTACTGCAATGGCTACTTTCTAAGAGTGTTTTTGTGTTGTTTTTGTTTTTTACAGAAGACATAGATGAAAATCTCCTGTTTTGAATTGATTCGAAAAAACTCAATCTTTCCAGCATCCTATTCTGTCCTAACCACTTCTGAAACACAAGCTGCTGTGATACTTTTAGATTTATATGTAGCAAAATGTTTGCATGTGTAAGAAAACAATGAGAGTAGTTGCTAGATACAATATATGCACCAGGAATTTAGCATTAACTTTGGAGAAAACTTAAATTAAGTAATGTCAGTATATGCAAAACATTATACACTGTGAACAAAGTTTAACTCATAGTAACTTCACTGTATGCCAACTTACGAGATATTTACTAATTATGCAGCTTGAAAAAATAATGTGTTCCTATTTTCTATATCATGTGCATGTCAAGAAAATGGAATATTGCTGTTTTGTGATTAATGTGGATTATTTTCAATATCTTAATAGCCTAATAAAGAGTCCCTAAAAATCCAAACACGTATTCAAGTTTATTTCCAGTTATTTAAACAATCAAATGTGAAAGATCAACCCATGTCTCACACTTTATATCAAGTTACAGTTGTGCTTCCTAGACTCTACTACTTAAAAAATAAAATAAAATAAAATAAAATAAAATAAAATAAAATAAAATAGTGTGACCGTGGTTAGGGAAAGTCTTTCTTAAGCGAAACAAATACTCAGGTGTAAAAATTCATGAGACATTCAGTTGCTCATAAGTGCCTTCTATTATTATATAAGTATAACCAAAAGGGAAAAAAATGATTCAAGTGCTTTTTAATGAAATTAAGTTTTGGGACCAGCAGATGGCATAACAGTTATGTTGCTGGACTCCCACGTAGTTGGCTGCAGTTTGAGTCCTGGACCCAGTGGCTTAAAAGTCATTTTGGGTGTGTGCGTGTGTGCCCAAAGTCACGAGAGGAGAATGGAGGAGAAGGGATTGCCACATGGCCATCTCCCTGGGGAGGGGGAATTTCTCCCTGTCTCTCTGTCTCTATCTCCCCAGTGAGCACATGCACCAATAGCAACAATCTTTTTTTTAAAAAAAGAAAATTCAGTTTAAAATGTGGATGATTATATACTGCTTAATCCTACTAATGCTTGCCTTCATGCAATTGTACATGTGGGGAAGAGTGAGACACTGCAAACATTTCTACACATCTCATTTCCTCAAAATAGAGGGACTCGAGTCTCAGCTGTGGTGGTGTGCACTGCTGAGATCCTGTGCTACACAGGTTGTGACCACCTGGGGGGCCGAGTTTCGATTCTGGCTCAACCTAAAGGCTGGGTCTGGTGGGCTACACCTGTAATCCCACCAACCTGAGAGGCCAAGGCACGGGGCTTACGAGCTCGAGGCTGGCCTGGGCAAGAATGGTAAGACATCATATAAAAGAGCCAGGCATGGGGGCACAAGCATAGAGTCCCAGCTACTTCAGAGGATGGGACAAGGATAGCGACATAGCAAGACCCTGTCTTAAATATCAATAAAGGTAATGTAAAGGTGAAATAGACAAATGGAGAACCATGAAGCATCTTGATGTCCAGTGTAGTGAGAGATAAATATTATGATCATAAACTGATAGTAGAAAACGTTTCATGAGAGGAAAAAAAAATTGTCTTTGAATTCTTTCTTGATAACTATTACAGTAAAAGCTAGATGGAAAAAATATAGAAGATACCATAATAAATTTTCCAAGATCTGAAGCAAGGTAGTAAAAGAAACTGTCACCCACTTTATTTAATTTATGATATTTGAAAGAGTTTGACATAATGCCCTATCTGAAATGGAAGATAACAATACAATTATCTTTATTTTTTTCAAAAAATCAGAAGAATACTGTTGTGTAGAGCCTAATCTGTACAGTCACTGAGAGAAGTTCCCCCTAAGAATTTTGTCTGAAAGATACTTATGGAATAGGTTATTTTTTATCAAAAGACTCTTCTCAGATGACTTCAAAACTGTGTTTACCATCTTTCTTCTTAGTTCTATAAGTCACTTGTTCTTAATCAGAACCCCATCAAACTAATTAAGTTCAATTTGGTTAACCAAAATTTAAGTATTATTTGTAATTTCTTCCAATTAGGAAAATAATTTTAAAATTATTCCAAATTTTAGGATTTTTTTATGTGTAGCTGAAGATAATAGTCTTAACTAATTAGAAACCAATTTGTTGGGAACAATGAAGTTATATTTGGAGCTATTAATTAGGCCTAAATTATCTTTTACTTTCAGGAAACTTACTAAAATATTTTAAATAGAGAAAAGTGACTTTAAGGACACCACCTTAATATTTACTAAAAAAATTTCTTTGAAAATAATTTAAATTTAAAAAACATTAATTAGTAATAGAAATTTCTTAACCTTAAATTTCTCTATCAGTAAGGCTCCCATGTGTATAACTATTATAGAAGCACTTCAGTATCCTCGCTCGCCACTATTTTTAATTGTGGGTTTGTGATAATCCCCCAGCCAAGGAGATGCAGTTATTTTCTTAGTAATCAGTCTTGAAGCCTATCTCTGTGTAATTGAAGTACTTTAGAAGTCAGAGCTCCTGATCTGAAACCAGATATTCAATGTGGATTTGAATTTTGTGACTCATATCAGCCATGACCACAAAGGCATTAGTAACATGTTTAAATACTAGATGGGCATAGATTCTAGGGGATCACACTGTTCCTTGAATTTGCAGCTCCCAGAGACACTTGAAGCAAAGGTAATTAAAGAGATATACAGTATAATTTGAATGGATTCTATTGCACTAGATTAAAAACTGTAAGATAGTCTTCTGTTGAGTAAATTAAAAATGTCTAATAAGTCCACTTCTCAAGGGAAGAAAGAAATTCAAGGATTTCTTGAATCCAAAAGGAAGGAAAATACAAAGGGAAAACAGAGAAAGAGGAGCTGGGAAAGTGTCCTAAACTCAGGCAAAGTAAAACAGCTGTAAGGTAAATCAGGGCTTTCAATATATATAAAATAGCTAAAGAATGACTTACAGGCAAATGGATATAAATTGTCCAAGCTATCAACAGGTCCTAATAAGAATCTGATGAATTTGCTTTTCTCCCAAAACCCAATTTCAAAGTACTGTGATTTGGTTAGAAACGCACAAGGTAAGTTCATTTTAATTAAATGTGATTTTAAAAGAGACATACTTTCAGAACAGTTCAGTAGAGACTACCTGGATATATGCTTTATTGAATTTTCTCCTGTTGTGCTTATTCTCTACCAAACCATTATGCCTTCCAAGACTTCTCTATGATTTCCACCATGAGAAACTATAATTGTCAATATTAGCATTTAGACCATATATAGGCCTGGTAAGTCTCACGAAGGTACAAACTGCAAATGCATTTATTTATATATTACATTTAAAAAAAGAAGAAGAACAAAAGAAACGGGGCCAGTAGATGGCATGGTGGTTAAGGCGCTGGACTCCCTATGGCTGATTGCAGTTTGAGTCCTGAACCTGGCTGCTTGCTCTCTCACTGCCCTCTCTTTCTTCCTCCCTTCTCTTTCTTTCTCTATCTCTCTCTGATGAGCACATGTGCCCTACAGCAAATCAAAAATAATAATAAATAAAATTAAATAATTTTTAAGTAAATTCTTATTTTAGCCTGTGGTGATCAATCCCTAATAGGAAGGCATGATGCAACATTGGTGTTTAAAGATTTGTATTTGGAGATTATAAACTCAGCTAACTTCAGGGATCAAACAAGTACATGTTTAACAGTAAGGTTCTAAGGAAGAGTAAGAAGTAGCCAGTAACGTTACAAGTCAAAAACTGCATGGTCTGTCTAAAGGTAATGAAAATTCCTTGAAGCACTATCCTTGACTTAAAATCTGGAGGTAGGATGTAGCCTTGCAATTATTCCAACACCTTTAATTCAATAATCTACCTGCAACAAGGATAGGGCTTGATCTCCTAACCCTTCAATTCCAGACTCCATGGTCAGGATGAAATGGCTCATCGTGGCTGGCCTTCTGAGCACGGTCCATGCTCTGCCCATTCCCGTGAGTACTCCCTCCTCAGCCGTCAACTCAGCTGCAGAGTTAGAGTTAGAGAGCCTTTCTGGGCTAGAAAAGCATTTCCTCTATCTTTTCCTTCCATGAAATAGGAAAGTGGAGCCCAGGAAAGACGTGGAACCAGGAACTCACCACTCTTTCCAGTCTCAGATTCTGCCCAGAACAAATCCCAGTTCTATGGACTCTTGCAAGCTGTGTGACTGAGCAAGAAACTGACTCAGGGTTTCCCTGTCCACAAAATGAGTTGTAAGAATAGTCTCAGTTGTGTGGATATGATAAAAATTCATATCCATAACTGAAGCTTGGGAAGCTCTCAACAAACTTACCAATATAGAATAAGTAGTTTGTAGTGATTCAGGCCTAAATTAGCAGTTTGAATTGAGTTTAATTTGTAATATCCTTGCCCCAAACCATCTCATGTTTTATTAAAAAGCTGTTGTGTAGAAATACTCTGACCCCAGAGTATTTAATTCATTAAAGATTTTATCTTATGAAAAGAAATCTCAAGACTACCTACATGGCTTATTAAGTTATAAATGTAAAAGTGACTTATGCCTGGATTATATTTGAGTCCAACATACAGATAAATTCTAAGATGATTACATACAGATAAATCTTTAAAAACTGAATTTCTGAAAACCAGATCAGCCTAAAAGTCACATTCCTATAAAGTCCTTGGATAACAAACCTAATTTGTTTCTTTAGACCATAATCCTTTTTGCTGAAGTTGGTAAGTATTGTTAATTGGCTGAAGTTCCAAACAATTTGTACTGCCTATCTCTTTAAGAGTATTAATCTTCTAGAAATGTTGCAGTGTACGTATTTTATTAATTCTAACATAATTTTTAAATATTTTCATCGAGTCTCTAAAATTGAGAGGTACCTTACGAACATCATATGGTAAAGTATTCTGGCAATTCGACGGTAGTGTTTTTCTTTCTGGGTGATATATGAAATAATGTTGCACTTTGCAATGATGACATCTTAGAATATACAAAACACAGAACAACGTCAACTTCACGCTTCTGGACCTTTTGTCATCAGTTGCTTAAAGCCATGTCTTCCACATCACTACAAGTGAGATGGCTCTAATCTGTGTATGAGAGTCTGAATATACAGGGGCAGCAGCAGGCAAGAGACTCTCTCCCTGGAGCACTCTGGAACAAAGGAA